TAGAGATGGGGTTTCTCTACATTGGCCAGGCTGGGCTCAAACTCCTGACTTCCAGTGATGTGCTTGCCTCAGCCTGCCAAGATGCCTAGATTACAGGCACGAGTCACTTCACCCAACAAGGCAAATCTATTATAGTCAGATATTTCAGTATACTACTCTCAAGAACTGCTAAAACAAGCAGAAAATCAGCAAGGATATAACAAACTTAATAATACCAACAAAATTGACCTGATTTAGAAAATATTGTACTCAACAGCAGAATTCACATTCTTCTCAAGTGCACACAAACTCTTCCAGAAAACTGAAGAGAGACTTTTTCCCAATTCACTCATTCTATGAGGACAGCATTACCTTGATAGCAAAACTAGACAAAGACATTACAAGAAGAGAAAATTTCAGACCAATATTTTCATGAACAGCGATGCAGAAATTCCCAACAAAACGTTAGCAAACTGAAGGACAAGATAATTTATTGCTCTATTAAAAAAAAACAGAAAAAGAAAAAAGACCAGGCATGGTGGCTTATGCCTGTGATCCCAGCATTCTGGGAGGCCGAGGTGGGAGGATTGTTTGAGCCTGGGAGTTTGATACCAGCCTGGGCAACATAGTGAGATTCTGTCTCATAAAAAAACAAAAACAAACAAAAATACAATTAATTGGGAAAAGAATACTCTTTTTAACAAATGATCTTGGGACAAAATAGATATCCACATTCAAAAGAATATACAGCAGTTGGACCCCTTCCTGACACCATACAGAAAGATTAACTGCAAATGGTTTCTAAATGTAAAAGCTAAATATACATATATATTTATAATATTTTTATTATATATATTTAGCTTTTACATTTAGGAACTATTTGGAGTCAATCTTTTTATATATCTAAATATAAATATAAATATTTACCTTTCATATATATATATATATTTTTTGAGACGGTCTCACTCTGGAGTGCAGTGGCATGATTTTGGTTCACTGAAACCTCTGCCTCCTGGGTTCAAGCAATTATCCCTGCCTCAGCCTCTCAAGTAGCTAGGACTACAGGCACCTGCCACCATGCCCATCTGGTTTTTGTATTTTTTAGTTGAGACAGATTTTTACCATGTTGGCCAGGCTGGTCTTGAATCTATGACCTCAGGTGATCTGCTTCCTTTTTTTTGAGACGGAGTTTCACTCTTGTTACCCAGGCTGGAGTGCAATGGTGCGAACTCGGCTCACCGCAACCTCTGCCTCCTGGGTTCAGGCAATTCTCCTGCCTCAGCCTCCTGAGTAGCTGGGATTACAGGCATGCCCAGCTAATTTTTTGTATTTTTAGTAGAGATGGGGTTTCACCATGTTGACCAGGATGGTATGGATCTCTTGATCTCCTGATCCACCCGCCTTGGACTCCCAAAGTGCTGGGATTACAGGCATGAGTCACCACACCAGGCCTAAAAATATAAGATTCTTAAGAGAAAGCACAGGAGTCTGGGCTAAACAAAGTCTTCTTAGATATGACATCCAAAGCAACAAAAAGAAAAATAGAGAAATTGGGATTTATCAAAACTTAAAACTTGTGTGTTTCAAAGAACACCATCAAGAAACTGCCAGACTGCCCACAAAATGGGAAAAATATTTGCAAATTAGATATCTGATAAAGGACTTGTATCTGGAATATATAAAGAACTCTTAAGACATTTTGATGCAGGGCAGGTGAACTCCACAGAGGGCTTAGCCTGTGAGGGTTCTTGGCTTTGGTCAGGGAAGGATTCAAGGGTGAATGGGTGGTATGGGAAGGCCAGGGCTACAGCTCTGTGACTGCTCCTGTGGAGCAGCGCTACCCTGCAGGCAAAGAGCAGCAGCTCAGGGTAGAGTTGCAGCCATATTTATACCCACTTCTAACTGGATGTGGATTAAAGGGTGCTTTATGTGGAAATGTCTAGGGAAGGGACAGTAACTTTTGGGTCATCAGGTCATTGCCACGGAAAGGGGCGGTAACTTCCAGGTGTCACCAGGGTGATGGTAAACTGGCATGATGCGTTGGCTGGCATGTCTTACAGAAGGCTGCTTCTGCCCTGGCCCTGTTTTATCTAGTTCTCAATTTGATCCTGTGTCTCAGCCCCACTTCTGGCGTCAAGGGCCACCTCCTACCACCATTTCTCCAAATAAGATCTACAAATAGCCCAAGGCACACAAAAAGATCCTCAACATCCAGCCTTGAGCAAACTGTACATCAAAACCACAAGAAGGCTCCACCTTACACCCACAAAGATGGCTGTATCAAAAAGACAGACAGGCCGGGCGCGGTGGCTCACGCCTGTCATCCCAGCACTTTGGGAGGCTGAAGCGGGTGGATCATGAGGTCAGGAGATCGAGACCATCTTGGCCAACATGGTGAAACCTCGTCTCTACTAAAAATACAAAAACTAGCTGGGTGTGGTGGCCGATGCCTGTAGTCCCAGCTTCCTGGGAGGCTGAGGCATAAGCATCACTTGAACCCAGGAGGTGGAGGTTGCAGTGAGCCAAGATCATGCCACTACACTTCAGCGTGGATGACAGAGCGAGACTCCATCTCAAAAAAAAGAAAGAAAAGAGAAAAAAGACAATAGCAAGTACCGAGGAGGGTGTGGAGCTGTCGGAATCCTCATTCGTTACTGGGGGTGACGTAAAACCCTACAGCTTTTCATGTTTGGACTGAAAAGGAAGAAGTAACGTTGTGTTTATTTACAGACAACACAATCCTACATAGAGAAAATCCTAAGGAATCCTCCAAAACACTAGAATAAATGAGTAAAGTAAGTCAAAGGAAATGAGGTCAAAGGTCAGCACGTAAACATCAACTGCAGTCCAGAAACTTCCAAAACATGGTTCAGAAAATTCTACTCACGATGGCACAAAAAGAATACACCAAATGCATCAGTGCTTTAATTACTGTATTAATAATTGTACTAATAAAATAATTATGATTCAATATTGAATGAATAATAGATTATTATGTATTAGTAGATTTCATAAAGAAGGGCAAGATGTGTGCTGAGAGTAACAAGACACCTGGGGAGGGGAAGTAAGGACCTAACTCAATGGAGAGATGCTCTGTTTCAGGAACTGGAGGCTTCGGTGTCGGTGAGACGGCCATGCTCTCCAGAGGGGGTCAACGCACCCCCATCAACATCCCAGCAGCCTTTTGTTGTTGTTGCAGAAATTGGCAAGCTGATCTTAAAAATTTATACAGAAATGCGAAGGTCCCAGCAGAGTCAAGATAATTTTGAAAAGAAAGAACGAAATTGGAGGACTCTCCAATTGGAAAACGTGCTGAAAGCAACAATAGTCCAAATAGTGTGGTCCTGGCGTAGACTGAGGATACATCAGGAGAGACAGGCCAATGAGCAGAACTGGGAGTCCAGACAGAAACCCTGGCTCTTAGGGCAAACTGATTTTCATCCAAGGTGCAAAGCAGCTCAATGGTCAAAGGACAGTCTTTTCAACAAATGATGCTGGGACCACTGAACATCCCCATGAAGAAGAGATGAATTGAGAACTTTACCTTTTCCACAAAAATTAAACTGGATCACAGATCTAAATGTAAGAGCTAGAACTATAAAGCCTCCATAAGGCCATGAAAAAATCTTTGTGAAACTTGGGTTAGGCAAATAATTTTTAAATACAGTTCCCAAAACTATGATCCATAAAAGAAAAACTGGACAAACAGGACTTCGAAATTAAAAACTTTTGCTGTTCCAAAGACAGCATTAAGCAAATGAAAATATAAGCCACGGGCAGACAGAGAACATTTGCAAAGATGTATCTGATAAAGGGCTTATATCCAGGATAGGTAAAGAGTTCTGTGACTCAAAAATAAGAAGACAACCTTTTTCTGTTGTTTTTAAGCCTCTGTCGCCCGGGCTAGAGTGCAAGAGTGCAGTGGTGCAGTCACGGGGCTCACTGCAGCCTCAACCTGCTGGACTGAAGGGACCCTCCCAATTTCAGCCTTCTGCATAGCTGGGACCACAGGCATGTACTACCATGATCGGCTAATTAAAAACAATTGCGAGTTTTTTAAGAGATGGAGTCTCACTATGTTGCCCAGGCTGGTCTTGATCTCCTGGGCTCTAGTGATCCTCCCACCTCAACCTCCCAAAGTGCTAGGATTTTAGGCATGAGCCACTGTGCCTGACAGTACAATTATTTTTAATGGGTACAATATTTGAATAGACATTTCTCCAAAGAAGATAAACAAATAGCCAACAAGCACGGTGAGAGCTGCTCCTCATCATCGGTGGTGAGGGAAATGCAAATCAAAACCACGAGGAGCTACCACTTTCCACCCACAGGGCAGTTACTGTAAAAAGACAGAACTCCCAGTGTCAGGAAGATGTGGGAAATCCCAACCCTCATGCGTGGCGGTGAGACTGTAAAATGCTGCCGCCATTTTGAAAAACAGTTCAGCAGTTTCTTTAAAAGTTCAAACATAAATCTACCATGTGATCCAGCAATTCCATTCGTAGGTACATACCCGTGAGAAATGAAAACACACAAAAGCCTGTATACAAATGTTCACAACAGCACTGCTCATAGCCACCCAGCTGCAAACAGCCGCAGTGTACACCTGCGGATGAGTGGGGAGCAGACAGTGGCCCCTCAAGGGAACGGAAGACCATCCTCCCAGAAAGGAAGGATGTGCTGACACAGGCATGCGTGCCCACACACACATGTATACGCATGCAGACCTGTGCACACACGTGCAAGGAAGACACCCCTAAGCACACACATATGCCAGCACGCACATCACAGTATATGCACACACACACACGCCTGCACACACACCGAGGCACACACCCCTGCACACACACACATGCACACACATGCCTACACACACACACATGCACACACACCCATGGTTGCCCAACTGGCAGGGGTGCTGGTACGCCTGCAGCCTCTCTGCCAGGCTCTGGGCACAAAGGCTCTGCTCTGCCTCAGGAGCCACATGCGACATCTTGCCTGTATCTGCACTGCTTAAGCACCTGACACCTGTTTCTCTTCCGGAAGCATCAGACCGTCCTCCTGGAGATGCTTACTCTGGGCAATTTCCCCTTGGTCCTGCAGCAGCTGAATGTGCACCGAGAAGGGACAGCCTTGGGCCACTTCCATCACTTCCGGACCCATGATCACCATCTTCGTGGCTTGTTCTGGGAGAGGACGGAGTGTGGCTTTACTGGTGCTGAGTCAGCAGTGGGCGCCCTGGGAACCTACCAGAGCTCGGGGTGGCAGCTAGAACACAAGTGCATGCTGGGGCTGACCCCCAACAAGCCGCTGTGCAGAGGCACCAGCTGGGCAGCTGATATACTCGGACCATGAGGCTAGGCACGGCTGGCCTTGAGCACTGTGAAATAGAGTCCGGTAGACCCCAGGGGCCATGAAACATGGCAGAGACACTAGTGAGTGGTGCAGGACTGTCAGGTTTTCCTGACTGTGGAATGTTCTGGCACGTCTTCCTGCTGCTCAGGATTCAGGCCCTACATTCCCTGCATCTGAGTCAGCACCCTAAGGCGGCGACGGTGACTTCCCTGGGGCCTGCGGGGCATTGCTGTGGGTGCTGTTTAATACTGCATTCTGCTGCCAAGGTCCTTCAAACCGAGGAGGTGCGCGTGGATCTGCCTGAGGAGGTGCGCGTGGATCTGCCTGAGGAGGTGCACGTGGATCTGCCTGAGGAGGTGCGCGTGGATCTGTCTGAGGTGTGCGTGGATCTGTCCGAGGAGGTGTGTGTGGATCTGTCCGAGGAGGTGTGCGTGTAGCTGTCTGAGGAGGTGTGTGTGGAGCTGTCTGAGGTGTGCGTGGAACTGTCTGAGGTGTGAGAGGAGCTGTCTAAGGAGGGTTTGTGGGGCTGGCTAGGCCAAGACCTTTCATTTGCTCCTGGTGCAGAGCCGGAGTTGGTGCTAGCATCATCTGCACCTGTGTCACCAATTTGGTTCCAAGGTTTGGATGAGTGTTGTGTCTCTGAGCAGACTGACGCCTTGGGTATCATTGTTGTTCTGGAATCCGTGGAGCAGCCACTCCAACGCCACCAGGACACCATGTGGAGAGAGAAGGTGGCTCAGAGAGGCTGCCTCAGAGGCGGCCCAACTGGGTGGTCCTTCTGTGAGCCTGAGTCCCCCAGAGGTCGCATCACCGTGTGGAGGCCTCAGGGAAACTGGACAGAGGCCAGTTGGGGGACAGCACAACCCTAACCTGGCCACCCCCAGACACTCAGGGCTCAAGTCTGGGAGGCCCCACTGGCAGCAGGACCATTTCTGAGGTCGAATTAGACCATGTTTTTTAAACAGGGGGTGGAATTTCAGATTCTACTTGCCACATCCCTCCCCCGTGTGCTCTGGGTGTCTCCCATGTGACTGTCCCGTGGCCAGGGCCACCTCACAGCGGACCTCACAGTACCCACGGGAAGCCAGCTACACCTACCTACTGGGTGGCCGTTGATCCACAGCCCAGAATAGGTGAGCCCTGAGCAGTGGGCCATGCTGCCCAGTCCACTGAAGACGTCGCTGTGCCACTGTCCCTGCAGAGAGAAAGGCAGGCTCAGGCTGGTGGCTCCCAAGGGGCTTGCGTGGGTCCCTGCAAGGCACTGCGGCTCCCTGGGACTACCATGGAGCCCCAGGACCAAAGGCTGCTAGAAAACCACATTGTCTCAAGGGTCCTTGCAGCCTGTCCCTTGGTGGTGAGAAACTATGTTTCATTAGAATGTGATCTAATTTGCTTTGTAAAATATACTCCCCTTTGAATTTTAATGATGCCAGGAGGTATGGGAACAATGGCACAGTATATAAAATGCAAACAAAAACTTGAAGGGGCACATTTTAGCACAAAAATCCTTTTAACATACAGATACTGCGTTTGTGTCGTGTATCATAAAGGAGGCCTGAACCTGCAAAGCGCACGACTGTGGCGTTGGGATTAAGGTGCCCTGATTGTCTGTCACACTGCTCATTTATACATGAAGGGGCCTATTAAAACACAGTTTGAAAAGTCGTGCCTGTGTGCTTGCCTGTTTACTGCACACCCCAACTCTGCCTCCTCCATAACAAGCCTGGTTTCCAAGTCATACAACAAAGCCTGTGAAAATCATGGGAAAAGCATGGTGATTATGTTCATGGAAAATCTGAAGAAGTGGCATTTCATTTGACCCTGAATTACTTCCATTAGCAGAAAAATTAACCAAAGGCATGTTTTGCTTCTATTCAGTCTTTGGTAGGAGGTAATTGGGCTCCTGCTTCCCTGCCTGGCCCTACCAGGGTGCCTTTTTCAGGGGAGCCCCGAGGCAGCTGTGGCAGGTCTGCAGGGCGCAGCACGTGCCTTCCGGGGCCTCTCTACGGATCCGGGGACCTGGGATGCATAGAAGAGATGCGGGACACCAGCGAGGGCCTAGGGCCAGGGCTGAGGAGCCAGGCAGATCAGGGAGAAGGGGATGGTGCAGGCACTCTCTCTGGCCGCAGGGAGACAGGACCTCTGCAGACAGCCCTGAAGGCGACAGCCCCAAAGGTAATGAATGGATTGCTCCCAAAGGCTGGGGAAAGCGACAGTGCAAGAGGGGCTGTGGTGAGGGGCAGGGGGATAGTGAATTGCATTTGCAGATGGGCTAAAAAGGAGCCTCCAGGTCCAGAACATCAGTGGTGGGCGGGGCAGGGCAGGGCAGGGCGTCTGGCAGCTGCTGGCCTGGAGCATGGCTCGCGCCTCCAGGCAGGGGACTCTAAGACAACCAGTAGCCTTAGCCTGAGTGGGTGTCTGGCGGCAGTAAAAACACAGCTCTCAGCTTCAGGAACGGCCAGGCAGCTAGCTGGGGGTGCCAGGTGGGCAGAGGACCGGCTGCTGTCTGGACAGGGACCTTGCTCCTGAGGCTCTTGTCCCTCCAGCACGCAGACCCCAAGATCCCAGCCAGCACACACCTGGCTGCATTCCTGCCCTGTTCTGAGCTGAGTGTGCCACTGATGTTGGCCCCTTGGCCCAGGCAGTTGCCCTGAAGATCACAGCCCAGTTCTCTGTGCCACCCTGGGTGCTGGGAGAGGAGCATCCACACTGGCAACTACAGTGGGTGGGGGCCCCAGAGCCAACCGCACGTTGGGGTCGAGAGCAGTTCTGGGGTTCAGATACCAAGGACTGGCGCAGAGTCCATGGGCTGCACTGACCACTGCCTCACGGCTTGCCCGGGGGCCACGCCCTGCTTGGAGCCGTGGGTGCCCTCACATGCACACAGCACCTCCCCTCAGCCTTGCCCCCTTGGTTCTCTGTCCTGTGACTCTAGACATTCCCATCAAACTGAGCCAGAGTCCACTGCATTTGACTGGCACTTCTTGAGGGTCCCTTCCTGGGACCATCGTTCTCACTCTGCCTCTTATCTTGCTCACGCTGGATGGGGAGAGGCGTGAGTTGGCGCACAGCTGAGGGCTCTTCAGGGCATCTGCATCACTGTTAGTAATGAGAATGGCGATGGCTCATCTCTGCCCCGTCCCACCTGTTTGGCCTCTGGAAGGCACCCTGGGCTTTTAGGAGGAGGGAAATGGAGCTGCAGGGCAGGACTGGCACCAGCTGCCATGTGTTACCCAGGGTGAGTACCCAGTGAGGTCATGGCTGGGCAGGGGAAGACAGACAAACTCAGGGCATGAGAAACGCAGAGGTGCAGAGCCTACCTTTGGAGTGAGTGACTCTAGCCATGGTTGGTGTGGGGCTGCGGCACAAGTCTGGCTGGCATTGCCCTCCCCAGGTGTGCATCACCCACTGCTGGTGTCCAGGTGGGAGGCTGAGCCCGCGCAGCAGTGCCAGGCAAGCTTTGATGCAGCACTTGGTCAGTCCGAGCACATTTGAGTTCTCAATGCAACAGGCCCAATAGCACGGTCTGAATTCGTGTCTATCACACCTTTGACAATTCAGCTGTTTCTGTGGCATGCACCCCAAGCAGGAATAAGCAGGAGCTTATTCAGTAGGGTATAGGGGAGGCTCCTGATGCCCCTGCTGATGGCACAGACTGGGACACCAAGAGTCCTGGAGTAGCTGCCTCCCGCCCAGGCCTCGGGGAACACCCAGGCACAGTCCAGGCCAATGCCTAGCGTGGAGAGCCATGCGCAGAGCCTCAGCTGCAGAGAGGCTGGTGCTGAGGAGTGGGCATGCCACCACCTGCTCTGCCTCCTCCTCCCTGCTGACACTGCCTGGCACCCAGGTGAGCACACGTGGGGGCCACTTGCGGTCCAGGTCCACACCCAAAAGAAAGACAGAGGCGAATAGCCGTTTCAAACTCAGGACGTGGTCATGCAGGTGAAACTGACACATGTACACCCCGCCTGTCACAAAGGTGACCCCAGGACCATGAGGGTGTCTTCTGTGAGCGCCCTCCCTTCCGTGCCCTGTTCCGCTGGGGGTGGCAGAGCGCTCAGGAGACCCTGGGCAGTGCTTGGCTCTCCCCAGCCCCCAGCACCACTTGGCCGAAGGCTCACACCTCCCTGGACAGTCGAGAGCTTCGTGGGCTCAGCTGGGGCAAGGACTGCGCTGGTGCTGGCCGGCTCCTAAGCCTGAGGTGGAAGAGGTTGTGAGTGCTCGATTCTCATCCTGGAAAGCACTTCTGGTCCATTCATTCATGCTGTTTTCTTTCTGTGCTTTTATTGGAAGTGACTCCCTCTGTTTTCAAGCCCTGGTCAGGCGTCCACCCTCCCCTGGCACCATCAGGCACTTCCTGCCTCCGGCCCTCCTAGGGGGTCCTGGGTCTGGTGCTCTTCGGGGTTCAACACCCCCTAGATGTGGGGTGAAGAGCGGGTGTCCAGCTTTCCCCAGTGTCAGCCTCGAGGGTTTGTGGTCTGGAGAAAGTAATCCCAACCATTGCTAAACCTGAGGCCTGAAGCAGGCGGGGCCTTGCTGAGGTTCACGGCCTCATGCACCAAAGTAAGGGCTCCCAGGACCAGCTGCTCAGCCCCCTCAGGCCATGTCACGAGGGAGGAACCTGCCGGACCCTCCTGGCTGGGCCCTTCGACTGCCCAGGGGCTGGGCATGCCTTGGTGGGGCCGGCGCCGCTGCCTCGTTTCTGAGGCCCGGCCATTCACACCGCCTCCAGGGGTCCTGCATTTGTCCTCGCCGGTCCCATCTTGAGTGCCCAGGCTTTAAGGTGTGAACTGTGAAGAGTTCCAGAGGGGACATGGGGCCTGCCTTAGTGACCCTACTGGTTCCACGGCGGCCTGACAGTCAGTCCCCTCCACTGCCCCAGGGTGGCGGGGAGTCCATGGGAGGCAATGGCCAGATTTCCCAAGGGCCATGCTCAAACATCCCAAGTTATTTACATGGTTCTGTGTTACATGCACCCCTGGGGTTCCCCACTGGTCCTGGCTCCCTGGACTGTGACCCCTGGGTCTGACGGTAGTAGACCCAAGTGTGGAGGCCCTGGGTGGGCATTCCCACACACGCCCAGCTGAGGAGAGGAGGCTGGGGGACTGCAGCGGGCAAAGCTGCCCAGAAGGAGCCGCCTGCTCTGTGTGGTGAGCAGGTGCTCAGCGCCCAGCGGCGCCTCTGGGAAAGCTGGCGTGTGAGACAGCCAACACCCGTGGCGCAGATGACGCAGCCAGGGACGCCCAGAGGGGCGCACCGCCAACACGGATAGGAGATGCTCCAACATGCACACACACGTGGTCCACTCCGTCTGCTCCGAATTCCGGTCTGGCTCCCAGAGAGGATGTTTCGGAGGTCGCGTGGGGCCTGCCCAAGCCCTCAGGTCCTGGGAGGTCAAGGCAGCACGCCATAAAGCAGGGATGCCGGGATGGAGATGGCCAAGGCGTCGCAGGCTGCTGGGGGTGCTCGCAGCCAGGACTGGCCTGAGCCGTGTGGCTCCTATCGCTGTGGAAGAGGAACCTTCTCTGCTTTGGGATCCGCTGTTCTTGTTTTCCGTCAGAAGAAGCTGTAACACATTTATTTTCAGGAGTGCATTTTTTTTTCCAGAACGCATTTTAAAAAAAGGTTCTTCACAGAGCTCTGCATGAAGGAATACTGGCTGCAAGGCAGGAGACACACCTGCTGTCAGGAGGGAGAGGAGGTCTCCAAAGGGGCCTCGCTAGCCTGGAGCCCATGCTGCCTCAGGTGGCAGCTGACGTGTCCTGGAGCTGCTCCTGCCATGGATGGGAGGGTCAGAGCTGACGGAAGAGGCGCTAAGGACACCCTCCCAGGTGGGCAGAGGCGAAGGCCCGGAGCGAGAGAAGGCCTCACCACTTCCTAGTCTTCTCAGAAAATAAAATGATCTCTAAAAAGTGAACAGCTGGCTGGTTGGGTGTGGCTGGGGCGGGAGGGCAGTTCTCAGAGGCAACCCAGTGTCCAAGAAGGGCCGGTGCCTGGCTCGTGGCCTCACTTGATGGCTCACGCTCCCAGGGAAGAAATCCAAAGGCCCAAACTCCTGTGCACACAGGCACTCCACAAAGCCTGGCAGTGCCAACATGGTGAGGGGAGGTGCTCCGGGATGGGGGCTGCTGGTGGCCAGCAACGGGGGAGACCACAGCTGCCAAGAAGTGGCAAACAGGAGTGAGACCCGGTGTG